TGATTCACAATATAAAACTAGAGATTTCAAACAGGAATCTACAGTGTCAAAAATATTCTGACCTACTGTGATCTTTCTGAGGTTTTTTTTACAATAAAAGAATTAATTTATTGTGTTTCTATATGCAAAAAATGATAGAAAGCTAAGGGCTGGCATTTTTGAGGGGTGTCTTCAGTCTAAAAACTGTTGAGAACCACTGGCCCAATGTTTATGTTGCTAGGATGGGACTTGAGAGATACAAGTTCAACCCCCTGTTCTGCCAGAGACTTCCTGTGTAACCTTAAGCAAGTTACTTATGGCAGGTCTACACTGTAGCCTGCCCCAACTAGGACATGCTCAAACATGCTCCCCACACCTGCTTCCATTCACACACTCCAAACCTGGAAATATACACACTCGAAACTGAGGTTTTCATAGTAGCTGCTGCAGCCTCTTCACTACAGTACATCCAATTTGGGAGGTACACGAGCAGTAAAAGCAACAGTAATTCCCTATATCACAAAGCTCTTATGAAGTGCTCAGATAATGGAGCAAGAGGAAACATATAATGTAACAGGGAACCCTTGCCCTGTTACTGGGAGAGGACTATGAAGCCAGCAGAATCGGCAAGGACCCTTTAAGAGAAGGGTCCTTGTAGCCTGGGGCAACAGCCAGTAATTCTGTCCTGGGGAGTGACTACATGCTGTGCATGTAGCAGCTAAAGGGCAGGCAGCTGACAGGGCTGGGACTAATGAGCAACCCCTATGCTCTGACCAAATAAGAGGCCGGGCTGTCCAAAAGGGCCAGGGATCAGGCTGAAGGTGCGGTCTAAACCTGGCTGGGGAAGGGGCAGGATCTCCCATGAAGACTGCAGCAGAGCTCAGACGCAAAAGGGGAGCCCCAGCAAGTATGGATCAAAATGGTGATTTTTCCATGTGGCCTCTTCCCTGCAAGATGTGTGGTTACTCTGTGTAAAGCAATCCAGAAGAGCATAATGGGACTCATGGGAATCCCTTAGCTCTGGCTTATCTGCAGATCTTGTCCTTCTCTAATATTCAGGACATGTGCATGTGATTTAGTTTTATTAGACAAAATTTACAGTACTCACTAAGGTTGGAAGCTACTGAGAGATTATAATATTACAGCTATCATGGTTGGGGGTCATTAGCTATGGATGAATGTGATAATAGAACCACGATACACAGAATACTTGCTCATGGCAACAAACAAATGGATCTTGCTCATAAAGCTTTGTACACCAAGATGAAAAATGGAATAACTCCTGAGGGTGAAGAAGGAATGTGAGGAAAACAGAAAATAGAAAAGAAAAACAAATCCCCAAGGGATGGGGGAATCCCCCCCAGGAGAGTAGTGGGAAAGGGAGACTGAGAATATGGAGTGGCTTCACATAGAATGGCACACGATGGGAATAAGATAGGAAATGAACAAAACCAAGCAGGAGAGGAGTAAGAATAGCCCTTGGGAGAATATATAAAAATGTAAGTAAATGGACAATAGGAGGGTTTGGCACTCTATCAAGCTCTGGCACTCTCAAGTCAGACATGACTGCAAAATATGCCACTGGCCAGCTAACTTTTATTCATGGTCTTGAACTGAAAGTAAAATTCAGCCCTCAACTCCAAACAAGTTTGATACCCTTGCTCTAAGGTTTTACCTGCCCTTCTAAAATTACAACAGATGGCTTATAATGTGCCTGCAACTACATTAATTATGTCAGTGGTTGCTGCAGCAGAAAGTCTGAATAAGAAATACTGCTGACTTGCAAGGACATAGCCAACTTATCAATGCTTTCCTTTCCCATGCTTTTTTAAAAGGCTGACTGCATCTAATGGCACTCTATTTAAAAAAAACAAATGAGTAATAGGTTCTGTTCCTTATCTAGAAGCATTTTTAATTTTTTTTTTTCAAATTGCATTGTAAAATACAATCTTCCTTCTCCTTAAAACATTTTCCTAGCAGAATTATTTTCACGAAAAAGTAAATGAGGAGCCCCTCCTCAAATCTATCATCAGCTCTTATAATACATCAAAATATGAAGAATTTTGGAATGTAATTGCAGTAGCAAAGCATAAAGGCAATGCAAGTACAGCCCAATTCCAGTAACAAAGATCTTATTGACTTAATGGTGCAGAATCAAACCTAAAATGCCCATCCAATGCCTATTAAAATCAAATGAAAGTTTCCCTGTGACTTTAATGGCCCATATTGAGCAAGACTATAAAAAGTCCTTAAGACAGATTTCAAACTCCCTGCTCCCACAAAGGAAATCCAGGTGAAGTCAGTATTTATCACTGGGCCTACAGGACTCAGAATTTGTCCCAAAACCTTTATGGGTGAAAACAGAGAGAATAAAAATGTATCGGATCCAGTAAATATTACTACACCAAGGCTGTGGGTACATATAACACGAGGCCATAGGAGAAGCACTCACAGTGCATCCAGTCAGATTCCAACGAAACTACAAGCTCTGCAAAATACCTTGTCACAAGGACATGAAAAAGGAAAGGAAAGCATGACCCATGGTAAAATGATAAAATATTAACTAGACAGAAACTGTTTAATATATTCACACATTATAAAAGACAAGCAATTTGTTTAGAATAAGTTATATTATCAGCTATACTAAAAATGAAAAGTGGTTAATTAGCCCACAGTAACTGTGGTTCTCCAAAAAATTGAGGTCAACATGGGTCCTGCTGTCTGTGAACATATTCCCACATACACAAGAATGGATTCTTTTTGTCTACTGGCATCTGTCAGAGCCATACACGCACCCTACACCTCCCTGTATACAAGAGTACAGTGGAATAACGTGTCTGAACTCTCCCCCAGTTCCCTCACAACTCAAAGTCCACAACAGCACAGGACCCTGAAAATCCAGTTCCTGAAAGTTAACTGTTCTGTCCGCTTCAAGTGTGTGACCTCTTCAAGTGGATCATGGAGTCAGAGCTAATCAAATCAATGAAAATTATAATACTGCTCTTCTGAACATGCCATCTTCTCAGGCTGCCATGTCAAGAGCATAGGCCCAAATCCAACCCTATTTTTAGATGGGAAAATAGCATCTACATGGCAAAAGTTACATGAAAGCAGACTTTTGGCCAATTGTACAGACTTTAGATCTTGCCCACCATAGTAGGAAACACATAACTACATGCAAGTCACAAAAAAATGGATGAGAAGGGCAGCCTTCCCACCATTTAGCCAAGTAGCTTAGTAGTTAGGGCACTAGCCCAAGGAATAGGAGACCCAGGTTCTAGGCTCTCTCACCCAGAAGGGTTTGATATTTTCCACTTCCCAGGAAAGAGCCCTAATGACTAGATCATGGGCTTTGCAGCAAAAATCACTTTCCACCCCTTATGCTGAAGCTGGGTCACTAGGCAGCACAGAGAGAAAGTTATGGGTATGAGAAAGATAGCAATAGAGGAATTGTGGTTCAGTGAGATGTACTCTGACATGGAAGGGCTGGGCTTTAGCTCCGTCTCTTGCTTCTGCTCCAGCAAGTATCATCTATTTTATCCAATAGCTATTCAAAGCAAAATGAAGGAACACCACTGGGGGAAGTGCCACAACTGAAGGGCCCATAGCGTTTAATTGTTGCATGGCATGCATTAAAAATCTCACAAACCAATATGACTGAAGCAGGTCAATAATGTCATCCTCCTCCCTCCTACTGAAGGTAGGCTTCTGGGCAGTCAAGAATGCAGGAGTCTTGAGACCAGAGGGTAAGCAAGCAAGAGGGGAACTGACTCTTTAGCTCAGTGAAGAAGGTCACACCCGTGCAAGGGGGAGTCCTTAGTTCCCGTCCCTACTGCCAGAGGGTTTTGTTGGTTTTTGTTTTGTTTTTAGTAAAATAGTTGTCTTATATAAGCTTCAAGAACAATGCTGAGAGCAGCAACTAACCCAGGACTCCCTTAATCACTAGGATACAAATTCAGGTTCCCTCTTGCTTGTTCTCCTTTTGACCTCTTGATACTTAATATTTTAGCTTCTTAACTCCCCTCTTTCAACAGGAGGTACAGAGAGTGTCCCATCCAAACTAATTCATAAGCCTGGAAATTAGTACACTTTCCTAAAAGTAGGAGATGTGGCCTTGCACTGCCCCAAGACAGGAAGGTTTATACTTTAGATCAACTACTTCCCAGATGAGTGTTTTAATACTATAACCCTACTATGCAGAAGATGGCCACCCCTGTTACTGCTGATCAGTTAGATGACTATCCATAGAAAAGACTACTGCTCTGGATCCCAAGTGGATAGAGGAGCTTAATGTACAGGTCTTGGCCAGGTACCCAAGTTCCAGAGAGGAGTGTGAATTAATATATGGGCATCCTTAAGTCACCTGTCAGAAAAAACTAACTCTTACATTTCACTGTGTGGGGAGCTAACACAACTAGCTCCGTTTCCTTGAATCTTCCTACTAGAATCAGAGATGCATTTTCTCTAAGATGTTGGCACCTACAGCACCTTTCTGGACCTTGTCCTAACTAATTGATAGTAGAATACCAAAAGAGGCTTAATTTTAATAATTTAAGACCTACTCCACTGCTATCTATACATTTTACCATCCAGGAAGAGCACACACCAACTGTAGATGCTTCCTCAGCCTGACAAAGGGTTTTTAAACCCAAAAGCTTGCTAAGAAAATGTTTTCCAACAACTTAAGTTGGTCTAATAAAAGATATCAGATTCACCCGAAGAACCTTGTCTGCCTCTTTTAAATACAATGTAACTTTTACATGCAAAAACACCAACAGGAATGGGAATGGGTATCTAAAGAAGAATTGGATTTGGGCCTAAGATTACACATATCCTGAACACACCTCTCCAGAAACTCAATGAGGCTAATAATTTTGTTTTATCTTATCTCACCAGAATATAAATTTTTAAATAACTTTTTTTTTTTTTTTACTATCAGCAATTAACATCTTACATTAAAACAGATAGCAATATGAACCCCACCCTATTAATTTGACAAGCGCAGGACATATTTATTGTACCTCCAAAAGGGATTCCTCAAGTTTAGCTAACTGTATCTTCTTATCCTCTTCATGTTGCAGTAGTTTTGTCTTCTGTTCTTCCAAATCTGGTTTTTCATGCTGGATAGTTAAAGCTAAAAGCTAAAAAGAAAGTAATATATTCAAGAGAGGGTGAAGAATACTAACGTCAAGAGCCTATAAGCAACAATTTTAGCAATATTTATTAGTCAATATTTTAACATACATTTGACAACTAGAATCTCTGTTTTATTTTTTAAATCTAATTTTGCTGTGTTTAAGTGGATGTACATTTACTAAAGGCTGAAAGGCTACAATAAATACATTCAGTGACACATAATGGCAACTAAGTACAGTCCAAGAACTTTATGCTAAATCTCTTGTCATTTCCACCTAAAAAGGGAGCTGGTTCACCTGCTAATTCTACTCAGTGATCTTCCTTTCTCAAACAGAGGTAGGTCACACTGCAGCTTGACATTTGATTTTTATTATTTTTACTTAGTATAATACTTTCATTTTATTCTAGATCTTTGTTAGTTTGAAAATACTATTCATTGTGAAATTAGTTTAAGGTGGTGAAGGCTTTCCCCTAAATGTCTCATTCTCTAAATATTCGCTTATATCTGTTTTTCACCCCTAAATCAAAAACCCAGTACATCTTGGTGGGAGTAAGACATAAAAGACATCCTTGTCTACAAAAGAAGATATTTTGGTATGAAAAATACTGATTGACTAGGTCAGAAAACCATTGGATAAAAATTCAATTGTACCATAAATGCAGCTGTGAAGGAAAATAGTAATTTTAGAGTTTTATCTGACCCAGTTGAAGCAAAGGAAAAAAAATTAATTACTTCAGTAGATTTAGGATGAATTTTCTTATTCCCACCAAACTATAATTTGGTTCCAGAGTAATAAACAAATAAACAAGATTTATAAAATTAATTTCAATAAAGATTTCATTGTTTAAGTTGTGTGTCCATTTGTTTGTGCTGGAATATAACCAAATACCCTTCATAGGCCATGGCCATTTAGAGACATATTCTGTTAATGGGACAAGGTCTGTATTTGAAAGGTGAGGGTGCATCAGATTAATCTGGCCAAGTTCAAGGTAATTATTATTATTTTATTGTCAGAAGTTGAATGCCTACCTGTCCTCTTAAACCACTTCTCGTTGTAGTAAAGTTAATTTCAGCAACAATAGAAGCTGCATCAGGTGGAATTAAGGGGTTTGGATTTCGTGTTGAAAGAAACAGACGAAATTCTTCATTATAATCAATCATTTTGTCCCCTATTTGTACAGCATATCGTGGTCCTGTTAAAATAAATATACAGTACACTAAGTCTGTTACAGTGTGAAACAGCTTAAGAACCAGTATCTATGTTTATTGTTTTAACATAAAATATGAACCATAAACATTAAATATTTTCACAAAAAATGGAAAGACAAAAATCACGTTTAGGCGCTTAACTCTCCCTGACGGCATCTGACAAAATAGGCTCCTGCTTATGAAAGCTCATGCCTCTCTGAACCTGTTTATTTCTAAGGTGCCATCATGCCTTACCTACTGCCTTTCCCTATTAGAAATAAAAAAACCCTGTAGCATTCTGCAAGTACATGAGTACTAAATAGCGAAAAGACTGAGGATTCTGGTTTAATTATTGAAGTGAAAAACATGAGGTTCCCCCCCCGCCACCCCACTCTATTCAGCATGGAGAATAAAGCTGCTTAAGTACAAGGTGGGGGCAGGCAGTTGCTGTGGCTCAACTCCAGCCCTAGCCCCAGCCTGGGATCTGAGTCAGAGTCATAGTCACTGTGCCCTTCACCTGCTCCTCACTACCTCTACCCTCCCCACACCTTGTATGAGCTGATGGTGGCATCTCCACTAAGGCTGGAGCTGCCACTGCCA